TCCTTTAAATTTAAGCGGGAAACAAGAAGATCATTTGGGGGCTGAGGATGAACCAGATTGGATGAGGAACTTTGTCATTAATAAAGATACCAAATCGCCTGAGAAGAAGACAAAGAAAAAGAAGCAATTGGGATTCGACAAAAGATTTGATAGGAATGGGAAAAGAGAAATTGTCAGAGATTTAATTACTAACGGGAGTGGGAAGGAGGAAGATACTGAGATCGAAAAGGTAAACAATTTAATGGCTAAACATGAGGTTGAGGGAATGGATGAAGAGGAGTTTTTGGTTGAAGAGTATGAGAGTGAAGATGAAAATGGAGGACAATCGAAAAGGAAGGGCGGTGGGGTTTCGGTTAATTCCTCGAGTGAGGAAGAAAAGGACGAAGATAGCATGGAAGATGAGGAGGAAGAGGCTAGACCTAAGATTTACTTTTGCAGCCGGACACATTCACAACTTTCACAATTTGTAAAAGAGTTAAGAAAGACTAAATTTGCGGGTGAAGTGAAGGTTGTATGCTTAGGTTCTAGGAAGAATTTCTGCATTAATCAAGGTACTCAAGATAGTTTGTCTTTCGAGCTTGTTGTTCTTTTGTAAGTAAAAAGTTGCAATCTTGTTGAAGTTTTGTGAAAAAAAATTCATGGATCTATTGTTTTCATTTCAGAGGTGTTGAAGCTAGGCAACCCCACTCAGATAAATGAGAGATGTTTGGAGCTTCAGAAAAATAGGAAGAAAGAAAATTCTAAAATATCTAAAACCAAGGTACTAGCTGGACTCTCAACCTGTTTCTATTGACACATGTGAGTGTCCTTGTTAATGCATAGATGTCTTACTGACAAAGTGTATAATTGTGTTGATAGGAAGCTGTTCTATATCAAGTAAGCTGTCTTATGTCATCTCTGGCATAAGCTGATTTAAATATCCATTCTGGTAGTACGCAACATACTTTTCCCAGTTTAAATAGGTTATAACACAAAGTTAGAAACCTTTTAAAAATATTTGAGATTATGCAACAGTTGGACGTTCGCTGACGATTACAATGCCAATGCTTCTCAGAAACATGTTCCAATTGAATCAGTGTTACAATAACTTTGACACAATATTTATACGATTACTTGACTTGTTACCTAAGGAAGTCATGGACTGTGTATTTGCTTAGATTCAGCTTATGATAAATATTATTATGCTCCAAATTAGAACTTCTTAGCTTCATTTGCAAAGTTTATATACAGAACATCGGAGCTGTTGGCAGAGCGAGGAGGTCCAAGACTTCCTCAGGGTGCCCAATGCTTAGAAATCACAAAAGAGGAAAAGAATTCCGAAGTGAGGTTTCTCAACAAGGGCCTGTGGATATTGAGGATCTTGTTCAGATTGGACGTGACTTGAAAACTTGCCCTTACTATGGCTCAAGAAGCCTGGTACACACAGCGGATCTTGTGGTTCTTCCTTATCAATCTCTTCTTTCAAAATCATCACGTGAATCACTTGGTTTAAGTCTAAAAGATAGTGTTGTTATCATAGATGAAGCTCATAATTTAGCTGATTCTCTCGTCAGCATGTACGACTCAAAAATTACATTGTCACAGGTAAGAAACATTTTTAATCATTGCCATCACACACTCTGAACCATCCCATCTGGCACTACCTAACACTTTAATATTCTTTTCTTTGTGTTTTACATCCAAGTATCTCACTTGAAGAAGCATCCAATTAATTGATCTGCTGTTTTCCAGTTGGAACTTGTGCATTCTAACTTGGAGAGTTACTTCATACGGTTTCGCAATCTGCTAGGGCCAGGCAACCGCAGATATATTCAAATAATCATCGTCCTTACTCGGGCTTTTCTACAAGCTTTGGGTAATGAGAATTGTCAAAGCAAATTTGATCCTGTTTATAATGCTGAGGGAAGTAAAAGTGGCTTTGATTCATCCATGTCCATAAACGAGTTCCTATTTACCCACAATATTGACAACATAAACCTGTTTAAGCTCTTGCGGTATATAGAAGAAAGCAATATAATTCACAAGGTAGATCATTTTTTACTCTTTTCTAGTTATTCATCTGTCTATCTCTATCCCTCTTTAATACCATTTAGTTTTGAAGATCTTTGGGCTCTCAGGTATGTGGATATGGACATAAATTAGCGCTCTCAGAAGAAGTTTCAGCATTGAAAAATGATGACAAAAGCAGTCATGATGAAAGTCCATTATCTGGTTTCCGAGCATTAGTTAACATATTACTGTCACTAACAAATAGAGATGGTGATGGAAGAATAATAATATCAAGGACAAGGCCAAAATGCCCCAAGCAACAAGGAGGGTACTTGAAATATGTCATGCTCACAGGAGAAAGGATATTTTCTGAGGTTTGCTAGAAACTTCATATTCTTGCATTCCTAAATCTCCTCAGAAAGGTGTTTATGGAAAACAATTTGGTTCTGCACTACTACTTGCAGGTCCTCAATGAAGCTCATGCTGTCATATTGGCTGGTGGGACTTTGCAACCCATAGAGGAAACAAAAGAACGCCTGTTTCCTTGGTTACCTCCGGATCAGTTGCATTTATTTTCATGTGGTCATATCATCCCACCTGAAAATATTCTACCAATTGTTGTTTCTCAAGGGCCTTCTCGCCACTCCTTTGATTTTAGTTACAGTGCCAGAAGCTCATCAATCACGGTATACATAATTTTCCTTCACATATGCTTGTTTTAAGTTAAGAATTCTGCAACTGAATTCTCCTATTGCCTATGAATGTGCTACATGGATATTGGATAAGTTGTGTTACCCCAGAAAATGTCAGATTCCCTGTTTCACTTTAATTTTGCAGTTTAAACAGCATTTTTTGCTTTGGGATTTAGTTAGAATATAACCCTGAAATTAACTACTCTAACATACTCATGAACTTATGTTATTTCAGATACAAGAATTAGGGCTTTTGGTCTCCAATTTGGTAAATGTAGTTCCTGAAGGCATGGTTATTTTCTTCTCATCATTTGACTACGAAGGCCAGGTCTATGATGCATGGAAGGAGTTGGGCATCATTGGAAGAATTATGAAAAGGAAACGTATATTTAGAGAGCCTAGAAAAAGTACAGATGTGGAAATTGTTTTAAAGGAATACAAGGAAACAATTGATGCACTGTCCCATAGCAGTTCTAAGCAGGACCCTGGATCACGTAACGGTGCAATTCTCCTTGCTATTGTGGGTGGGAAAGTATCAGAAGGTATCAACTTCAGCGATGGGATGGGTCGATGCATAGTCATGGTTGGATTGCCCTATCCTAGTCCAGCTGACATTGAGTTGATGGAGAGGATTAAGCATATTGAAGGATTTGATACTTCTAGTGGTAAGAACACCAAATTTCAGGCTCCAAAGAGCTGGTATAGTGGAGATGCTCAAGCTGGGCTTGACATTTTAAAAAGCTGCAAGCATAGAGGGAAGCAGTATTATGAGAATCTTTGCATGAAAGCTGTGAATCAATCAATTGGTGAGTGCTATCCAACAACTAGTCTTTGCATTAACATTTATGCATGGAGTATAACCAAACGTAAAAAAGCTCTCTTTTTCAACTATTTCCCCCCTCATTAACTATGCTCTCACAGATTTTCCTTTACTCTAGAGATCCTCCAAGATTGATATCTTTATTCTTAAGTATAATTTAATATCTGATATTATGTACTGAATTACCACTTTTAATGGTCCTTTAGCATTATTCATATTCTTTTTTGTGGATCTTGATATTCCAGTGCTGTTTTAATCGTCTGCTGTAGGTAGAGCAATTCGGCATATTAATGACTATGCTGCTATCCTGTTAGTTGATACACGCTATACATTTGATGCTTCTGAAAGAAGCTCCTCACACTCAACCAACAAGCTTCCGCAGTGGATTAAAAACCGTCTTGTTTCTGCAACAAAGAATTATGGAGAACTCCACAGACTGCTGCATCAATTCTTCAAGTTCCACAAAGGCAAAGAGGACAAAGAGTAAGAGGTCGTGGCCAAATTTGCGGACCTCATGAAGTAATGTATTGAGGCACAAGTTTTAGTTTATTAGGTTATCAGCTTATACAGGGATGGACCTTTTTGTATCAACTAAATTGATGCAATAATTTTTGGATGTACAACAATGATAAATTAAAGATATTGAATTAATCTGCCAAATTATTTTCATTTTATCTCATGATTGTTGTATATGTATTACCATAAAAACCAGCTCTAAAGGCACTTGACACAATTGATACAAACAGTAATTGTTACTCGATTAAAGGGAAATTATGGCCTTGCTTCATCTATTACTTGGGGTCCCAGTGGTCTAAAACTGCATGAGTATAATTTAGGTACTGCTTAATTATATGTACTAATAACTCTAAGCATCTGCCAACTCACCGCTCAACTTTCCCTTTTTCTTCATAATGAATGCTGCGATACTTTAAACAACATGACAGTCAAAAGAATGGTCATGGAAATAGAAAGGATATACTCCTAGGAGGAGGCCCTAGGAGACCAGGGTTTGAATTGCAACAGCTCGGTGCACTAAGCTCTCGCCATGCGCCGTGTCCGAGGTCCGAGAAACGGCCGGGCCACGAGGGTCTATTGTACGCAACCTTAACCTGCATTTCTGCAAGGGTTTGAATTCCAGCAAAGACAAAAAAAATATCACTAGTTAATTTTTTCTAATCTGCTTAAATCTTGGTGCGCAAAATTACTCGATATCTCTCCTGGAGAGGTATTAGGTACCTGAATAGATCGGTCAAAGTACATCCAAGCTGACCCCAACACCACCATTATAGAAAAGAAAGATATATTGGGAAACACAACTAAAGCAAGGAAGTCAAGCTTAGAAAGAAATATTGGGAAGCACAACTAAAACAAGGAAGTCAAGAAGAAAAAGAGCAGAATGTCCCTCTGAATTTCATTGCATTTTGGCTTTTGTCTTCAGTTATGATAAGAAACTCGAGCCCACCTGTCCCCATCTCTTTCATTAGTACAAGTTAAAAACCATTTAGGCATCTAAAATTTAAGGAGGAATGCAAGCTGCATTATCTCTTGCTAAGAAGATAGTGAAAGCCACATGGGGGAGTTGTACAAAAAGACACTAAAGCCACAAATACTACTTAAGAAATCCTTCAAGAAGACAAAGAACCTCTTCCTCAAAACTCTACATAATCTCAAGTCATTTCTCTTTAAAGGTCAACATAAGTTACCTAAAGTTTGTCACTTCAATCCCTTCTTCTCTGGCAGCAATCGAATTCCAAACAGCATTATTCAAGAGTTGGATGATTTCTACAGAGACTTTCCTCAACGATGGGAACATTGTGACCATAATGAGATTCCAGAGAGAAATAGCATTTGTGAAGAATCAGTAGAGAACACTATGGAAAACCAAGAAAGAATGAGAAAAGAAGAGAAGGAAAGAGCAACATTCAATGAAGAAAATATAGGAGAGGTTTTTCTTCAAAGCACAAGTAAAGGACAGATTTTAGCACAGAAGATGAAGGAATTAGATTTGATGGATGAGGAAGATTTGGATCAAATGCTGGACATAGAAGAAGTGCTACACTACTACTCTCACCTAAACTGTCCATTTTACCTTGATATTGTTGACAGTTTTTTCATGGACATGTATACTGAGTTCTCACTTCCACAGCCATTCATCAATATCAACAGTTCAATGCGAAGTCTTGGTCCTATTGAGCTCTAGAAACTACTGTATTTTTCGTCGACTGCCTGTGTCTTTGTATGCCAGAGCAATTTTCCAAGCTAGCCAACTTCTTCATTGTCTGTTCAATTCAAATGGATTCCTATATTTAGTAATTTCAGAAAATCCTTGGATCTCTATTTCTTGATCAAGTTTCTTTAAGAAGTGAGTTATGACAGTAGTACATTCATTATTTATATTTTGGATGGAATTTGCTCTATTAAGTGTAATGTAGCAGAGTGACTTGATCTTTACTATCTGCCGTGAAGAGAAATGTACACATATCCGTCCTTGAAGCTATTCTACCTCATTTCCCTGCCATAAAAGAATACCTCCCATTTTTCCCAGTTTCCATTCTACCATTCTAATAAAGGGCAGCCCGATGCACTAAGCTCTCGCTATGCGCAGGGTCCGGGGAAGGGCCGGACCACAAGGGTCTATCGTAAACAGCCTTACCCTGCACTTCTGCGAGAGGTTGTTTCCACGGCTCGAACCCGTAACCTCCTGGACACATGGCAGCTAACTTTACCAGTTACGCCGAGTCTCCCCTTCCATTCTACCATTCTAGTGCATGACATTATTGTTTTGCTATAGATAAAGTAATCGCCTGGAATGAATTTAAATGAAGAAACATGATCAATGAGGATTCATATAGCCGACCCCAACTTCTTTGAGACTGAGACATAATTGTTGTTTACCGAAAAAATAAACCAAGAAGGTGGATATTAAACATATGATATGGCAAAGGAAAAAAAAACCATAGAGGACCTTGAAGCCTCATTACATCCAAGTTGGTTCTGTAATAAATCTTCTTAATCATGATGTTCATTATCATTCTCTAAATTGATCAACATGCATTCCTTTTAACTTCCTGAGAAGGCCAAGCTATAAACCATTTGGGCCTGAGGCTTTGTCATGGGTACAGAAAGCAGAAACCATAAGTAACCAAATCCAACTTTAATTTCCATTTAGGCTATAAACCATATAATTGCTACAATGAATAGAACGGCACAAGTAGACACATTGTCAAAGGTGCCAAGAATCATACTTGCTTTATGTTTGTTTCTTTGTAACAAACTGTCAACTGAAGATCTGCTTCTGCTTTGAATATATTAGATCCAAAGTCCCTCTAATAGAAACTGAAGCATGCTTAAAAGTTTCATCTTGCTTTCGTCGCACATCCAGTAGCTCTTTCTTTAACGGTGTCTTTTCGAGCAAGATGCACTTTTGACCTGTTTTCATCTAGTATTAAGTACCAGATATATAATAAACTAATGAGGCGACACACCTCAATGACTACTTGTGTATCAGAATGTATTTTCAGTTTCAATGTTGGCGTGATTATTGTTGTTGTTGTTGCTGAAAAAGAACCTCAAGGCAGTTTCATAGGCAGTGAATATAGCCCCATTCACTACAAATGCTCTGGCAACAGCAGTTCCCAAACCTCGCCATAGCACGCTGTATCCCTCTTGTTTCACACTTCGCCTAAAGCAATCAACAATGCCAGAATATCTCGAGGGTGTAGATTGTGATTGAGCTTGCAATCTGGTTTTAATAACATCAACAGGATAGCAACTTATCCAACTAGCAACTCCAGCTAGACCACCTGCTATAAGCATTGTTCTAAAACTCTCTTGACCATTTTTACGACATCCTGGATGAAGTTGCTCTCTCACATACTCGTACGTCCAAAAGTATAAGCCATGAGCTGGTGCATCTCTGAGTACTGTAATTGTTAATCCGCGGTAAATTCCTTTCCAACCTTCTTGTTTGAATATGCTTCTTGCAACATCTGTTGGACCCCTATAACTAGTTATTTGATTATTGTTATCAGGGATACTTCTCCTTTGTAACTGAAGTCGAATTTTCACCAATTCGACAGGAGTGAGCATTAGGCTTTGTATTGCTCCTGTTCCAAATCCACCTAAGGCTACTCCTTTGTAGGAGGGTGGGTCACTAGCTGGAACGTTCCTGTCAAATGCTCTCGATAGCACTGCATAAATCTGAAATACCATTGCATTCTGCAATAGCAAGGAAACTAATTTACATAATTGTAGAAATCAAGATGTCACTTCTATTCATGAAATATTTAGACAAGAATAACTTAGAAGGGGAGCCTTGGCGTAGCTCGTAAAGTTGCTGTCATATGACTGGGAGGTCACGGCCACAACCTCTTGCAGAAATGTAGGGTAAGGCTGCTGTGGTCCGGCACTTCCCCGGACCCGGCGCATAGCGGAAGCTTAGTGCACCGGATGTCCTGATTAAGAGTAACTTAGGAAGATCAATTTTAAACAATAATTACTCTATGTTCTCTAGATAATGGACTCGCTAAGAAGTGAATAATTAAATGGTAGCCCGCCTTCACTTACTAGAGAGTAGATGATGAAGGAAAGATGCTATTAAAAAATGAGTCAACGGCCGTATATTTTAGAATGCTAAAGTTCAATGCGTATCCGGTTGATCGTACTCAGTAAGACGTCTTAATCTTAATACACATCTTTAACTCTATCCTTTTTCCTCCAGAATAACAATTACTAGCTCCTTTTTTCTCCCCCAAATATATAAGAGGGTGTTTGGCTAAGCTTATAAGCTGGTCAAACTGGCTTATAAGCACTTTTTGGCTTACCTACGCGTTTGGTAAAATTAAAAGTGCTTATAAGCCAAAAGTCATAAGTTGGTCTCCCCAAACTTATCAAATTTCAGCTTATAAGCACTTTAGGTTTGACCAAAATATTTAGAGGGTGTTTGGTAAGCTTATAAGCTGGTCGAACTGACTTATAAGCACTTTTTGGCTTATCTACGCGTTTGGTAAAATTAAAAGTGCTTATAAGTTAAGTGCTTATAAGCCAAAAGCCATAAGTTGTTCTCCCCCAACTTATCAAATTTTAGCTTATAAGCACCATAAGTTTGACCAAAATATTTACTATTCTACCCCTAAAATACTTCTTTTTAAAACAAAACTCTTTGTATACCCAGTTCTTCAGTTGCTTATTATTAATTTCAGCACTTTTATCCAAACACGTAACTGCTTATTTTTAAATCAGCTTCAGCACTTAAAAGTGCTTTTCAGCACCTAATGCTTATCAGCTATTCTAAATCAGCTAAGCCAAACGGGCTCTTACTATTCTATCCCTAAAATACTTCTTTTTAAAACAGAACTCTTCGTATACCCAGTTCTTCAGCTGCTTATTATTAATTTCAGCACTTATCCAAAAACGTAACTGCTTATTTTTTAAATTAGCTTCGGCACTTAAAAGTGCTTTTCAGCACCTAATGCTTATCAGCTACTCTAAATCAGCTAAGCTAAACGGGCTCTAACAAGCACGAACGGATAATGAGTTGATGATTAAGATTCCACTAAATCCACATGTGAAAAGGCAACAAACAATTGATGAAACATTTAAAAATCGTGGTTGGAATGAGAGAAGATTTTTAATTAGAGGGAACTCCTGGTCTCTAAATTCTGAGATTTTAATAGTGACCATTAGTTGTCACCAAATTTGACATGTGAATTCAAAGAAAGGCTAACGTGCCAATAAAATGTCTATGTTACTATTATTTTTTGTTTAGCAAGTTTAATTTAGTATTAGTTCCGTGACACGCAAAAACTCCATTCGAGGGCCCTAGAGTCTTTGTCTCTATGTTTGGTAGGTAAAAAATAAATAGAGTAGTTGTTATTGGATCTATTCAATATCACCACGTAATATCCATGTCAATCCTTAACGATGTACGTATTACTTTTAGTGATTGTGACAGAAGTTTACCAAGAAAATGCTCTGACTCCGTACCTTTGGCGAGAAGCAGGGCAGAGCTAGATTTTGAGTTAGGGGTTAGCGAAATAAGTAATTTTGGTCCAAACTTTGTTAAATTATTAATTTAAAACCCAATAACTTAAAAAGATTAGAATTATAAACCCATAAACTTCAAATTCTGGCTTCGCCTCCGGAGGAGGTGGGATTAACCTATCGTCAACATCCCTCCATCTCAAACTAATTGGAATCGACTATATAAAGCAACAATACTCATTTAGCTATATTCGAGCTCATTTGCTAATAAATAAGGTTAACATGATTATCCTAACACGGTATGCACAAACAAGATAGTGATAAGGTTTGCGTACACGCTACTCTCCCCAGACTCCATTTGTAGGACTATACTGGATTTGTTGTTCTTATACAACAACAACATACACAGTATTATTCCATACCGTGAGGTGTGGGGAGGGTAGTGTGTACGCAGACCGTTTTTTGTTCTTATAGAGGAAAAAAAGGAAGGGGAAGAAGAAGAAATGACCTGAAAAGTGACAGAAGCGAGAGGAGCAGCCATGCCTCTGTAGAGAGCCAAGGGACCTTCAGTAGCGGCGACATGACGGAGGATGGTGAAAGCAGAGCCTTTTTGTGTAGAATTCTGTTGACGGACTCTGACGGTGTCAAGGGGATATCCAGATACGATACCAGCTATTCCTCCAAATCCACCAGCCACAAATTCTTTGCCCCAACTGCTTGCTAGAAACTCTGGCCAGAAATCCATGTCTTCATTAATTCCCCAACTCAAATTCTTATATTACACTTCTTATCTTTTCTCCACCTGGCTAGTTGGTTAGGTACAAAAGAAATCCTCTCTTTCCCCTTCTGCCCAAGCTTATCACAAGAAAGTGGTTTCTCCTTTGGTCTTTGTAACAACAATCTACTAGTAGTAATTTTACCAGCTCTATTAATGCTACACACTAACAGACTGACCTGCTTAAATAATTTCTCTCCTTTTTGTATTTTCTTTGCTGATAAGCAAAAGGTGATGTAAATTTGGATAGTGGCATGAAATAAATAGCAGCTTATAATTAGGGCTGCTTATCGGACGGATTGAGCGATTATTTACTCTTTAATGGTTTGGCTTATCGGTTATCAGCTTTTAGATGTATTAATTCGCTAGCCACCCGATAAGATATCGGGCGAATTGGTATCTGTTTAGCTCTTATCGGGCGATTTATCGGCCTAATTCAATCTATATTGCACATGACGCAATTTACCAAATGTACCGAGGGTCTAAAATTTGCTTCGCCGTGCTTCAAATGTACGCTGATGTTAGTCAAAGAATGGGATTTCTTGCTCTTGTTTTATAACTACTCCAATTTTCTTTAGATGTCGCTCTAATTTCTAAACAATCCAAGAACACCTGCCGAAATGTGTGCGGACTGACGTTTTTTTTACATGCAAGCAAACCTGCAGATGTATGTGTTAAACTCAATTTAACAGCAGATTCTACTCGTTAAACTATCTCTTGTTTGTTAAGTTTTGGTACTTCCACTGCACCTACTGGAGGTGGTAAGAATACGTGAAGCAATAAAGTAAATTGTTTTTTGTTTGATAGGATTGAAAAGAATGCGCGAAGCAAGAAATTAAAATTTGTCTAATAGTAAATTAGTAATAGAGAATAGAGATAGAGTACTGGAAGTGGAAGAAGGGTTTTTGATTATTTAATATATATATATATATATATAGATAAAAATAAATTTTATATGTATATATATATATTCTTAACGGGTTAACGGATTATCCGTTAAGAAAATTAAATAATCCGCCCCAAACCGATAAGCCGTTAATAAAAAAATTTCAATCCGTTCCCCGTCCGTTAAACCATTAACCCGATACCAATAAGCCATTAAACTTCGGTTTCGATTCGATTTTCGGTTTCGGTTCGGTTTTGAACACTCCTACTTATAATAAAAGTAGTCGTGCGTTTCACTTTATATTTGATTGACCAAAAAGTTGTAGTGAGAAAGAAGATTTTTTAAATTTGATGCTTCATAAAATATGGACATTTGTGTGTGTAAATCTATATTATATTAAAAGGAGGGTAGTATGCATTATGGTTAAGCCAATGGCAAGCTAAAATGAAGCCACTTGGCAATTTAGGACAATATTGATAATTAAGAATTATAAATGGAAACATAATTAATGGAAGTAGTTTAATAAATCTTATATATAATCCAAATAGATCTTAGGCAAATCCAATCTTTATATCAATATTTATATTTATATGTATATTTGTATCTATATCTATATTTATGTCTATATATTGATCCGCTCATTTTTCTTCTATATTAGCTAGAAATATGGAAGTAAAAAATTAATTAAAAACTAGAATAGAAAAAAATTGAAAATATAGAAAGACGTAAATTGAGATAAGCTATGACTATTTATACTTTGGAGCTATAAAATAAAACTAAAATTTACTTAAGATATTAAGGATTTATTGAGTTTAAAAATTAAATAAATTCAAGCAGCAAATTAAGATCTTACATAAAGTATACAAATTATTTATAAGAAAATTAAATAATCAATAACAAATATTTTAATAACAAGAATAATAAATTCATATTAATATTGATAAATCATGCAAACAAATATTTTATACATAAATATTCTACGACATTTAGATATAATGTGTTCAAATAATTAAGAAAATATTTTTCTATGATTAATATTTGAATTGAGTGCAGTTAGTTTAAATTTGAAAGCATAACATTTTTTTTTATAAAAGTTATTTGAATTTGAGATGAAAAAGTTTTAAATTTTTATCTATATTATATTAGACTGAGTGTGGTAGAAATAGATATTAAATTCAAACAAGCTAATAAAAATTCACATGACAATCTAATAATATTAGTTATTGAATAATATAATATTAAAATAAAGAATAAATAGAGAAAAATAAAATTCAGATTTTTTTATCATAGAGAAGAGGGTAAAACTTATTTAAATTTGAGATGAGAAAGTTTTTATATTATGATACGAAAAGTCATAATATGGATAAGTCCACATGCCTCAAGTCTAATAGATAAAATCAAAAATTAAAATATTGAATAAAAAAAATAGAGATAATGTGAGGAAATTTGTAAATCATATGTTTAGAAATAAAATAAATGTAAATATACAATACTTAAAAATATTATTAAAATAAAAATCTAAAATTTTCGAGAAACTTTTTTTACTAATGATAATTAAAAATTAAATTTGTATCTTAAAGCTAAAAAAGAAAGAAAATTTAATTACATTTAATACAAAAATAATTATAAGAGAACTCAATATATTTGGAACGTAATAATCAAATAACTTATGCATTAACATTTTAGACTAATTCAAAGTTACAATTTAAAATAAAATATGATATTACTTTTGGTTATAGGTAAAATATTAATATAAAAACTAATTAAAATTTATAGTAGGGAAGAGATGTATAAAAAAAAATAAAGGTAGTATGAGGATATTTATACTTTAAATTAATTAAAAATAATAATTAAAATTATATCTAAAAATATTACTGATAAATTTAAATGATTAAAAAATTCTGAATAAGAGGATACAAGCATAAAAATGTACCAAATTTCAAGAATAAAATATTTATATTTATTAAATATTATTAAAAGGATAATAAGCAAGATATTAATTTAATTATTAAGCTAATAAAAAATTATATGACAATATAATAATATTAAATAATAAATAATACAATAACTACAAGAAAAGAACAAAAATAGAAAGGACTTTGCGTAAAAATGATGTGATGAGTAAGACATATTTGACTTTTAGTCAAAAATAAAGTGATAGTAAGAATTTTGTTAAAATAATATGATATAATATGCTCAAATAAGACCGATCACAACATGACATATTTAGTACTTTTTAATATTGACACCGAAATAAAATGCAAGTACTAAAATTAAGGGGTTAGGTTGCTATAAATAAAAAAAAAGTTGTGTACTACGAGATTTGAATAATAATTTCATATCCTGCTTCATAATTGATATCTAATGTTATATAATTTTTATCTGAAAGGTTTATATTTTAAAGTTATTTGCACATGATTTGACATGATTTGTGTCCGCGCATCGCGAGGGTATTAATACTAGTTATTTTATTACAAGAAAAATAAAATTTTAAAGTTAAATTATATTTAGATATTGAAAGATGATACTTCCTCCATCATAATTTATGTGGTATTCTTTTTTTTTAAACCGTCCAAAAAAAAAAAATAACACATTTCCCTATCAAGAAATAAATTATCTTTAGAATTTATATTTTACCTTTAGCGAATTGATTACAGGTATACAAATAATTATGGTTTATTTAGACCATAAATTTTAAAATTTCATTATGTTTTCTTTTTTAAACTTTGTACAGAATTAAATACCGCTACTATGGCTTTGGTGAACGATGGTCGGGTAAGGTCTTGTCCTCGGAGGTGTCAGCGCGGGGGAGGGGGGTCAGGGGGTAAGAGGGCTAAGGGGCACCAGGCTGAGAGTGGGTTCTTGGAACATAGGAACTTTGACTGAAAAATTTGTAGAGTTAGCAAAGATTCTCGAGAAAAGAAAGATTAATATAGCTTGTGTAGAGAGACTAGGTGGGTAGAAGATAAGGCGCGGGATGTAGGCAGTTTCAAACTTTGGTATTCTGGGAGGGTGGGGGGCAAGAACTAGGTAGGTATCTTGGTTGATAAGGACCTCCGTGAACTAGTGGTGGAGGTTAGGAGGGTGAATGACAGGCTGATGGCTATTAAGCTAGTTGTTGGAGGCTTTACTTTGAACATAATCAATGCGTACGCACCCCAAGAAGGCTTGGATGAGGAAGTCAAGAGGCGTTTCTGAGAGAATTTGAATGAGATGGTGCGTGGTATCCCGCATACCGAGAAGCTTTTCATAGGAGGAGATTTTAACGGCCACATTGGAGCGACTTCTGGGGGATGTGATGATGTGCATGGTGGCTTTGGTTTTGGAGATAGAAACGGAGGAGGAACGTCTCTGCTAGACTTTGCTAGAGCATTTGATTTGGTGATAGCAAACTTGAGTTTCCCGAAGAAGAGGGAGCACTTGGTCACCTTCCGGAGTTTGGTGAGCGAGACTTAGATTGATTATTCATTCTGCAGGAAGTCCGATAGAGGTCTTTGCACGGATTGCAAGGTCATCCCGAGTGAGAACCTCTTGACCCTTCATAAGCTCCTGGTCATGGACCTTGAGATCACAAGGAAGAGGAGGAAGAGGGCGATGTATAGCCAACATAGGATCAAGTGGGGAGCCTTGACGGAAGCTAAAGTGCAGGAGTTGGGGGTCAAGCTGGTGACCATGGGAGCTTGGAGGACTAGTGAAGACGCAAGCGCTATGTGGACCACGACTGCGCAGTGCATTAGGGAAGCCGCGAAAGAGGTATTAGGGGTCTCAAAGGGTTACTTTGGTGGTCACAAGGGAGACTGGTGGTGGAATGGAGAGGTGCAAGGAAAAGTGAAAACCAAGAAAGCAGCGTATCTGAAGCTAGTGGAAAGTGTAGACGATGAGGAGAAGAGGGCGAATAGGGAGCATTATAAGTTGGCTAAGAAAGAGGCAAAGCTAGCAGTTACGGCGGCCAAGACTACAACTTTTAGTCATTTGTATGAGGAACTCGAGGGCCGAGGTGGGAATAATAGGTTGTTCAGGTTAGCCAAGACGTGAGAAAGGACAGCGCGAGACTTGGACCAAGTGAAATGCATCAAGGACGAAGAAGATAAAGTTTTGTTGGATGAGGGGCTTATCCGTCGGAGATGGCAGACCTACTTCCATAGTCTCTTGAACAAGGAGGGGGACAAGAGCATTGTACTGGATAATTTGGACTCTCTGGGAGTCGTTGTGACTTTGGGTATTGTAGGCGGATTAGAGTTGATGAAGTGGAGGGGGCTATGCGTAAGATGAGTAGGGGCAAAGCGACCAGGCCAGATGAAATCCCAGTAGAGTTTTGGAAGAGTGCGGGCAAGGCAGGCTTGGAGTAGCTCACTAGGTTATTTAACGTTATTTTTAGAATGAAGAAGATGCCCGACGAGTGGAGGTAGAGCACG